AAATGGTTTCAAAGCTTTTCTCCTCGGGTAAAGCGGCCGAAGTCTTAAGATTACCAATCAAACTCCATCCAGAAACAAGCGCGTGGCTTTGTCTTACCGCGAGAGTCCTGCTTCTTGTTCGAGAGGCTCCGATTTCAGATTAGACCCGAATACCTCCTATTCTGACTTCAGGTATACCTCCGTTATGAAGTAGTTACTGTATGGGATTAAATTGGACGAAGCCTGAAGTTGACAAATTATCCCCATTCTGATCCGAGTTCTCTAATGCGTACAGCTTCCTTACGCGCTCGGTAATTAACGCACGTCACTTTATCGCAAAAGTGACTGGGGTAAGTAACACTGGTTCCTCTTGGCATAGCAGTAGAGAAACTAGTGAGGATCGTTCCTGATCAACAATAATGAATCATCACTGTCATCATCATCGTTTCACTTTATAACACTGCAAAATAAAATTATGCAGCCACGTGATCTGTCGCAATATCGATGTAGTTACTAATTTATATTCGATAAAAGTAACGTACTTAGGTCACTTTTGTGCAACACGTATTGCACAAACTAAGGGGGGGTGTATGTTGAAGGAAAGAGGGATTAGAGAGACATTGGTAGGGATTATCCCCGCCCTTGTAATATATCGGAAAGCAATTCACCCCTGTGGTTCCCTCTTCTGCACTTTGAAAAACAAAGGACAGGTTTAAATGTAGGACGGGGGGAACGAGCGATACACAAGACTTCGTTTGTCAGAGGAAGGTACTGGTTAAGAGAGGGATAAAATCTGTCTGCTTCGAGCATTGAACAGTCAAGGATGGGCAGTTATCTTTATTGGGGGGCGGGGGACTATTTCGGAAGAACCGAGTTGCAATCTTGGCGCTAGAAATATTATTAAATACATAAGCGCTATTCGAAATGACTGAATGTTTTTGTAGACATGCACAAAAATAAAAACAGCTAGCTAACTAACTAACTAGATGGCTTACCGAACCCGAAGGTTCATCACCGACTTAACTAAAGCCCTCCACCGGACCCTGTCCTGGGCCAACAAAATCCAGTCTCCTTCAACTCCTATTTCCCATAATAAAATAAAAACAGCACTATTTACAATTAATTGAGACGCGATATCATAAAACAAGATTTGTGTCCTCAAGGTGTTGAAACTTACTCATACGCAGTTGCAGATAGTTAATTAAAACAATAAATTAGGACAAGGGAGTTACGATTTCTAGTAGGGGCAAAAGACTTTTGTCAACTCGGATATATTTATCTTTAGGATTAAGCGGACGGGGCATGAAGCTTATCACTTACCTCATCTGGTGCTGAGGTCAAATATGTGTTTATCAGTAACTCCACTCCCCGATACGTCTTCGTCGATGGCGTGGTGACAAGAGCAACTTTACTTAAGTAGGGCCAAACTAGGAACCCAAGCAAAATAACGATATTTTCTGATTATAATACAGCTCATCATACCATGTAGGGCTAAAATAAAAGTGATAAACAGCCTTTTATTGCCAGTTAAATATTCATGTTACTCAAGCATTATGTACAAGTGCGCCGTTAATGCGAGTAAAAATTTAATTTCTTTGTGGACTGCATTCTTCCAGTGCCCGGATTAGGCTAACCGTTTCTTTAGAGCTGTATATAAGGTAAGTCGATTTTGCTGAAAATGTTGTTTACGAGGCACGCTATAGACCTACAAATGTAGACCTACTTAGACGACAGACTTCAGGTTTCTACGGCCCTGAAGATGTTGGTTACATTCTTCTACGTTGGGTTATGACGTCATGTATTCTTGTACGTATAAGATGATTGTCTTCTGGGATGTTGCGCCGTGTAGCCTGGTAGGAGTCTACAGATGTTCAGAGAGAGATGCCTTCTACTTTCATCACCATGGCCATGGCCCTGCACCTGTCAAACATCGATAAACTCTACCAGACTACAGCAAAACATCCCAATCTTCATATTCGCCGCCGTGATACCTAAAATATTATCCATTCTTGTAGTCGTTTATCATCGTTTAGAATGAATGTATTGTTTCCCTCTTCAGGAACTCAGAATAACTCTGTCGTCACTTAACAATGACCTGTTTGGCTTCTAATGACTATAGAAATCAGAAATAAACGTAACTAAATGGTATAGGACAACGGAATGGACATAGACCGCCTATTGCTTTAAAACAAGAGGCGTGTTGTGATACCGTGAACATGTTTTGAATAAATGTTTATTTGACAAGTTAATGTTCACGTTTCACACGCTAATGGCTGTATCGAATGAGTGTTGTGTGTTCTCTTTGGTTACCACGAGTGTCCAGGTGGGAGGGCTTTGAGCTGTCTCCGCGACCCCCACCGAAGTTTTTATACGTTTTATGAAACAGAATGTTGTTACCCGACCCCTGTTATTAGTTAACCAAATTGTAATTGTCATTAGTAGATGTCATATGCAGACCTTCTCATTGTTCTTTATGAAGTCGATTGAGTCTGCCGCGTGCACGTGTGTATAACAGTGGAGAATGACTGCACGTGAAACAGAGAGTCGAACCTGGAGCATTAATTGACATGTGTATTATGTTTACGTGTATGTATTTATAATTGGCTGGAGTCCAGACCTCACACAACACCGAACTATTTTAAATTAACTTCGCATCTCGCAAGTGGTCTTTTCACTTCATGATTTCCAAATTGAATTTATAGGCATTTCCCATTTTCTATGCGTACTGCATATCCCACAAATTTATTCTTCTTTGGTCTTCCTAATGACATCTGGTGAAGAATATACACATTACTCGATATTAATACTGTTTTCTATGTACGCTTCACTTAATAGTGTTACCTGGCTACATGTTTCGACACTCATGTGTTTACCAGGGCGTCGTACTAGTTTACTTCGGTTCCTAAGTGCGCAAGTTCAAATTTCTTACAGATTTCATAGCTTTTTCCTTCCTCCTGTAGTCTCCGCTCTCTTGTGCCCCCTGCATTTCCCTCGTGGCAGTAATTTAAAAAATTGACGTTGTAAGGCGAAAAGCTGTGTGCGGTCAGGATTTTTATACCAGATTTAATCAAAATTGGTCATTGCTTCGAGACTTGGAGAAACACACAGACTTGTCGTAAGTCTAGTCTCTGACTACAGAATGATGAAAGTAAACTTTAAACAATACATTTCACATTCATTGCGTGCACTCTGGTCAGTCCAACCTTGGTAACATGGAATACTAAAAGGATCTAGGAGCAAACGAAGATACGTAAGCGATTATGCGTTATGTAATTCCCAGCTGGGTGCCGAGTGTTCAAAAACGTGTTTTGTTTCTCCTGCATGAATTATTCTTCAGATGTTGAAGCAGCCTGTCTTTTGTGTACCTTAGTGTCGAATGACATGAGATGATTATGAATGTTAGGGACAATTTTGGTATTACCCTGCAGATAATGACATATATCAATAGAAATTTCAATCAGACTCAGGTATAATGTACTGAGAGTCGAACCCTGTATTTCTCAAGTACAAGTCCGTCATACAAAGCTGATCATTAGGTTTGTTTTTATAGAATATTGATGTATTGATTTAAAGTCAACTTAACTGCATGTGCATTCATATTTATGTCGTATGTATCACTTTTACATGGGTTAATTACGTTATTTTTAATATAATTTAACGTTTTAAGTAATGATGAAAAAATATTATAACAAAAGTGTATTTCATGGGATTACTTTGTCGAATGTAGGCGTATATATTGGACTGACAAACGCGCAATGGACTGCCAGGAACAAAATACTGAGAAACGAAAGCAGTTGAAATGTTAACTGAACATGGCACAACATTCTTAGATGTTTCGTCATTGCTGAAATTTGCTGCATTATATGTTGCACTTAATTGTACAGTAGTTCGAAGTAATTAACACCACTGTAAAAACGAAGTTTAAATTTCTCAATTAAGTCCTGGCTTAACGCTTGCATGACCACAGTGCGAAGCGCAGATCTCCCTTCCTTTATTACACGCTAGTTGAGACAGGAATAGTCGCTATACCTTCCACTATAAAACCAAAAATACACGTGCAAATAAATAACCATTCGTTATGTGTTCTGGATGTTTCGCCTTGGGACTGGACGCAGTGGAGCCTCATACTGTAGCCCAGATTCGTTCCGTAAGGCAAAGGTAAGACTTTCCCTTGTCTCGCCCTAAATACGTTCTTATGTTAACCTCCACACTGTGTAGAAGCAGGTGGGTTTTCAGCTTCGCACTCCGGCCGGGTAAATATTACCTTGAAGACGAAGTGGATCCCAGAAGCGGTCTAAACTTGGTCGTAAATAGAAAATATCTACCGGGAATCAAATCCGGTCATTTACTTGGTAGCCATAACTTCACTGAATGAATTATTCCACACTTGCCTGAGCAGAGAGATAAGACAGTAGAAACCAACGACTGTAATACGTTTGGCAAGGGGGAACCAGAGTGCTTGAAAAACACCCTTTCAATCCCCACTTGGACTGCTTTGAAAGTGAACTCGGGGCTCCGAGGTGAGAAGCATCCTATATTTTTGTTTTAGTATGGATGTTCAAGGATGGATGCAAGTGTTAATAAACAATTTAATTGTTTCAAGCAAGAGAGAGAGAGGGAGAGAGAGAAACGTTGGGAAACCACTGTCCTTAAATTCTGATAAACACTACAGTGATACAAAGATATGACAGTCCTTTGAAATATTATAGTGTACCAAATAATCGTGTAAGCCTTTGATTGTGATAAATCGTAGTATTATCAAAGTATGCCTCTCTTGCTACAAAATGCTGAATGCATATCAGGGATAGGCGTCGGATTTTAGGAACCATTCTGAATCCCTATGTGCAGATACACAATTACTAATTGTTTATGTATTGCTAATATTTACTGTTCTCCCATTACGAATACATAAACACCTACCCAAAAGAAAAACACGTGATTTTAAACAATCATACAGTTACTGTATAAATTCGTGTACAGATACGACAAGACATGAACGAAGGCGTGAACTTAAGCAAACGCAGGAAGTAAACGTCTTTTATTCTTCATTTTCTTCGTTCTGTGAGTAAACATTTACGTACATTCAATTACCAGCATCTAAACTTTACATCCTTCCACCCCGTCACACTCATGTGTTTAAGCATCACCCAGCAAAGGGACACCCTTGACTTGAGGAGGTGTCTCCACACAGTGGCAGTCTATACGTCTGTAAATAGGGTAATGTGAGTAGCGAGCTTCATGCTTCGGTACTCAATGGATAGGTAACTGGGTGATCGCAGGGCTGGTCTCAATCCCTCGATGCACTTGCTAGACAATGAAATAAATAGGCCACGACCACTTCCTTTGCCATAAGTTCGTAGAGGTTCTGTGTTTACTTCAACTACTAAAGACACTCAAAACACAAACATATGTCACATTTACACAAAGTTACGGTCACCGTTATCTTTATTATTATGTTTCTATATTAGTTTTGTTGTGATGAGGTGACGTCTTAAGTACAACTAGCGATATTAAAACTTGTTTGCAAGCGTACAAATTGCAGGTATATACAATATTTAATTACCCTGTAAATGGAAATAAATCTTAGAATTATCTGAAATCCTTATATAATACAGGCTTATCATAGAAGTTTATCACAAAAAGATACTGTAGCAGAGACGATTTAGCTAGGATTATCAGAACAACTAACATACTAGTACAAATGTTACATCGACGGTCTATTACATTTAACTTTAAGAAATTCATATGAAAATTCATGAACTGCAATAAAAAAGTGTTCTTTACTATTACACGCCACAAAGGTAGGCCTACATTTTACGACTCATCAAACTGTACGGAAAAGAAGGTGTATAATATTTATTTTCGCTAAAATTTTTGTTGAAAACTCAGAGACTAGGAACGCGCTGCATATTTCAGTACGTTAGATTCATTTAATTATAAAAAAAACATACGGAAATTTTCTTTACCCATCACCTGGCCTTGTGCTCTAAACGGTGAACCCAGCAGAGGGTGTCATAATTAAAACTTACTGTTTAGAAAACTGATGCAGAAGTACACAAAAGTGATTATAGTCATTATTTTTTGACAGATTTATTGTCCCATTTTCTAAGCAGCTTTAGTATTCTACTGGCAATTCAATTTAACTGTTATCGAACTGTTCTTATAAGATGTGCACCAAATTAAAATTAATGACTTCTGAAGTCTGCTGATAGTGCACAATGTTGCTGTGTATAACAATTTTGTGATTCGCAGAAAGTAAGAATCGTAAGAATAATATCTTGATATTATCTTGAATTTCACACGACAGTGTTTCCTTATTATGAGCTCAACATTTCAATTTATACAATATATATCGACATTAAATTACAAATTATCACAAATATTCATAACATTAATAATGCCATTTCCACATATAATCTTGACATACGTATATCATGCATATTCAGGGTGTACAGTTTATTATATGGATGTGTAATACGTTTGTTGATGAAGTTGCAGCTGTAAAGGTCGGGACATCTTTATGTATATTTCAAAGAACAGTGAGATTTTCGATATAAGTCGACCCTAGTAATTCATTCATTTAATCTGCTGTTATTTTCCGTGGTAAAATACGTTGTTGTAGGCAGCCAACAAGTGGTCGTATACCAGCTTGGGAATTTTGTGGTCATCCTTCGCCTTAGAACATTCTTTGTTCAGTAGCTTTTACAGTTGGCTCAGAGTCTGTCCAATTATGGGGTTTGGAATTACCAATGATGAAACTTCTGGTCCTGCTACCTTCTCTTTATCACGGGAATCCCATTCACTCGTTTCAAAATGACTACCCTTTCCTGTTTTGTTGTCAATTGGACTCAACGATTTCCCTCAACCCTAGAGGGAATGCATTTCTGAAGTGGAAGGTAAGAGCTATTTATTCGAAGACAGCAATCTTCAGACTCACCTCCGTGAAAACCACAAGTCCTACACAGGTATTTATTCCTCCGAAAGATCAACTCGAAGTAGTGAGCTGACGAGAATTTGATGGTTACACTTTTCAAACAAGTATGTTTACATAAAAAACTGTCATTTGCATTTTTAGGGTTAAATTAAACGAAATCGTAAAGCTCAAAAGCAAAGAGTAACCCAAAATGTGGAAGGAATCACGGGTTGCTGATATCTGTATTCATCGTCAAATACGGACGATGACCATTAAATCCGAAATCCGTTGAATCGAGGGTTTACTGTAATTGTCAGACGTATAAACCTAGAAGCACAAAAGGTACATAAGAAATGTTACAGACGCTGAGTCCCACTACAGAACTATGTAAAATTAGCTGTTTTCACGACACAATATTTATTTTCTTTATTTTTGCATTCCATATGCAATTCTGCATTTCTACGACACCAATGCAGACACTCGTTCATTACACAGAGATTATTGCCCTTGCTGTAAGAAGAATTGTTAAGAATGCCAGGGAACTTGTGCACCTAGTTGTAAGTCTTGCTGAAGAAGACCTCAGATCTACTCTTGCGTGAGAAACAGGAAAGAGATGGTTGTCATGGAAGTCATCATCCGGATGATGATAATGGTGGTGATTAGGCGAAAAATGTGGTAGACTTCGACAGTGAATGAGCGGCAGTTGGTATGCAGTTGGACGGTCTCTAGGTCCTCTCTTCCGGTTATCAGTATCCGGTTGTCCCATTAGCAGTAATTGGTTTCCTTGAGCGTCCATTTCAACTCGTACCAATTCGTACTCTGTGCTGGGGACAATGATCCCCAGAGGAGCACACCCACGTGACGGAGTTAAGTCCCTGGGCACTCCGACCTTCCAGACACCACCGGGAACACACCGAGAGTCACCTTGCAGATTCTCAGCCATTCCTCTATCAAGAATTGTGAGAGAAGCGTGTTCGACCCTGAAGTCGAACTCGGTGCCTCCTTCTACTTTGCTGGAGGTGGTTGGGCTGCGGGAGTAGCGGCCTGACGCAGCGGCGGTGAAGGTCGGCACGGAACAGGCAGGGTCGGAATAGAAACGGTACTCCCCGCGCCACGTCCGTTCGCCGACATGGAAGCGAAGTCGGCGGGTGAGGAAGAGACCCAGTGGCCGTGTCTCGCAACGCGCACTGACCCATTCGCCAGCCAGGTACGCGGGCAACCGTGGCTTCGCCAACAGGTGAGGAGGAGACCTCTCTGTGCACCGCGATACCTCGTAGCAGATGTGACAGCCATGTACCTGTAACAGTCACAGTAAAACCTGCACAAAGGACCCTGGGCAAAGCGGAAGCAGCACCTGTGGGAACACTAGTAGGCCTACTTCTGGGGAACTAGTGGCAATCTCGTAGAATTTAAAGCACTGGGCGAAATCTTGGCTATCGGTATATCTGATTTCATAGATTGGCAAATCAACATCTTCAACAATCTCTTCACTAATTAAACTTTGTCAGACATTGTCATCTCTTCTCAGTTGTTCCAGAGACTTAGGAGGCAGGCTTAATTAAGAAATCCATGAAGAGAAGTACAGCAGACGCAGTGGCTTTTGGCCGGTGGAGAGGCTGGCAAGGTCAGTTTATTTGTTTTGTTCGTGCTTTCAGTCCGATAAGCTCCTCGTTCTTCTTGGAGGCAGACGAAACATAATACTATCGTACAAGTGACTCCCTCCTAGCCTTCCCCTTGAATATTCCACCGGCCAAACTACTTCTTTAAACACTAACAAACGCTCAACTGATGAAGCAATCCTCCGCCAATTATGGGAACGCAATGGGTCTTTATCGTGTTTATATGAATCTGCTACTTGACTCATCTCAGTTTTGTGTGGAGATCAGTTATGAGTGTAATTGCACATCTGCTTCGTTGTTTGGTGTTTAATAAGCACTGAGACAACGCCATTTTCACTCACCAGGTGTGCTTTGGTTACTCATGGTCACTTCTTTCGTATGTTTGTCCACGATATACAATTCCGTCAATAGCAGTGAAGGAAAGCGTTATACAAGAATTATTGAGTGAACAGTTACCAATGGAAACATGAGTTGTCCATTTAAAAACTAGTGTCTATTTCTGAACAGAAAAAGCCTGTTTCTTTCAATATCAGTATTGACCATCTTCTTTCAGATACCACCCAAACTCAGTTTCCAACGTCTGTTTGAGAATTTCCGACTATGAGCACATAAAGGAACAAAGCTAGGGTTGCTATCCATACAAGGTTGACAGGCCACTTTGTGGTGGGGCCCCCCCATTGTGCGCTTTCAGGGCAGGTGGTCAGTTTTGAGTTTGACCGCCAACTCCCATCTCCCTCTTGTTTTCCTCTGTATTGACATATTACATAAACCACATTCAGTATTTTCCATTTCACACTTGAACAAATACTTAGTAAAACTTTGCTTTGACTCTTCACATGTTCCTGCATTGTAATTTTCTGGTATTCAAAGTGTAGCTGTAGTCGAGGGCAGAACTACTTCTGCTCGCGGTTGCACGCGGCGTGTTGGAAGCGCTTAGAGCCGGAGAACATCCCAGTAAAAATAGTATAATTCAAAATTGGCAAACTTTTATGAAGTGTTCGCATTAATGAAAATTCTATTGTGTCTGGCACACTGAAACATCATAATTATTTACTCGGAAACAATAGTAGCAAATCATAATTTCATTTACGAATAAGGTAAGGATATGACCACCTTCTGGGTTGTTGCGCCGTGTAGTGTGGTAGACGTTTACGATGTTTTAGAGGTGCTTGCTGCCTCCATCATCAAGGTGGTAAGTAAAACACTCACGGGCGCGCCACGACCGCCCTGATGATGAAGGCAAGAAGAAACTCTGAAACTTTGGTAAACTGACAGACCTCACGGTGCTGTATCCCAGAAAGCAGTCATCTTCATGCTCGCGGCCGTGAGAACCTCAAATCCTGCTATGCCGTAGATAACAAGTTCGTTGCTCTTTTTGGTGTTACTAATTGCGTTATTCGACAAACCGATATCTTTCTACCGCTATTAACTGTCTGGCAGAAATGCACAGCGTAGGAGTCTAGAGCAGGTAGATTTGGGACGAAGTCCGAAATGGGGTATTTTAATTCTGCGCACTAACACTAAACCACGCAGTTGCCAGGTATTCGTAACTGACAAAGACTGTTCTGTCCAGAAAGACCTGACAACCTGCTGTGACCATGAGAAAAATATCTGCACGTATGATGTGCACTATTGACTGAGAAAATAGCGCCTTTTGTAGGTACAGGTGATTTCCAATTAGGAGACATCTTGAAAGTCAGGTAAGCCTAATCCCCTGCTTTTGAGAGCTGTTTCATTTCCCCAACTGTCTTTCGTGTTCTCAGCATTGGTACAGGGGTCCTGAAACTTGTTATTTACAACTTTAAAACTTTAAATACAACCACTTCACTGTAGCTCATAAATATCTGCCTGGGAAGAATGCATCTCTTCCTGCAGTACCTTAATCCACCTGTAATTAATAACCACACAGAACTATTTAAAGAATACCTACAAAGTTTTAAAATGCAAACGTAAAGTTACCCGAGACCTCATCACTTACTTACACGTAGCCAGGTCCTTTCCGTGAAGCCAACAGTAGCTCAGATAATCAATAAATTCCCAACATCTTATGGAACCCAAAGGTTCCATACCATGTTCACATGAGCCCGCCACCGGTCCCTATCCTAAGCCAGATGAATCCAGTCCACACCACCTAATACTATTCATCTAAGATTAATTTTAATATTATCCACCCACCTACATCTAGGTCTTCCCATTGTTCTCCTTCCATTCCCAGTGAATGGATGTATTATTAAGGTTATTGTTACCAACTCTGTTACACACACGCGCTGTGAATAATTCTGAACGCAATCAGATTGATAAAGGTTAGCGCGTATTTCAACGAACAACGTTTTGGATAAGGTTTACTCCCAACCCCTGCATCTGCCTCTCCCCACAGGAACATTTGTTGCTAGTGTAATTACTGTCACTGAAGGGTGTTTGTAAACATAACGGAATTAATCCTGATGGCGCCATTGAGATAGGACACATGACCACACTGAGAAATTTACGTAGTGGATGGTGGCAGTTAACGCGCTGCATTAGTTCTGGAAAATAATGACTGGTTCAATGTCCGCTGATCTGCCTAGCTGCTGGTACCCCGTCATCTAATCTGCTATAATGGTAGCGCTGAAATACCAGGTGTTGCAGGAATCGTGTTCGATCCGTCGATATACACACTTGATCACTTGTTTCCGTACTTTTTCGACAGTAGAGGGCTTTTGTTAATTCGGTGACGAATCTTCGGGTTCGGTAAGCCATCTAGTTAGTGGGTTAAGATGTTGTACTCAGCTCTAATTATCTATCTGTTGTGAACTGAACTTGAAATAAACAGAGAGGAAAAAGACTGCATTAAACATGAAATTACTTCATCGACTAAATAACAATCTAGTCCTCAAGGAATATCCTTTAGGATGGATTCGCTTATCGCTGAAAGGAACTACAAAGTTCCAGACATAAGTTTTGGAATAGTGTGTGCTAATTAAACGACAAATGTTGTGCCTATAATGTTTTACTAACCCCTGCTCTCTGAATGATCGATCCTTTCTCGCGTGAAATCAGCTGTGTGAATATTTCTTATGCTTCTTTATGTTAAAGAGAAAAAATGGTTTTCGAACTTTTATGTCGCATTGAATATGACTGTCTACTGAGTTGTTTGGTCATGTTGTCTATTAGACGTTTACCGACAGTGAAAAGGTGTACGAGGTGCGATCGGAAAGTTTCAAGACTGCGCCTATAAAAACCCGTACACTTATCTCAGGTATTAAATTCATCCCTCACCCTCGAAGTAGTTCCCCTGGGAGTGAACACAACGATCCCAGCGCCGCTGCCAAGCCTGGAAGCATCCCTGGAAATCTTTCTTTGTCAGCCTGTCAAGCACCATCTGCGATTCTGCCTGAATCTCTTCTATCGTCTAAAATCTCCTTCTCTTTAGCTGAATTTTCATCTTTGGGAAGAAGAAGAAGTCACACGG